TCATTGGAGGTTGTTCCGTTTATTTTCATTTCTTCGTAAAAATGCTAATGCCGGCGATCCTCTAACTTTGAAGCATTATAACTTGAAAAGTACTTCATGAAAAAATATTTTATTATAGCGTTTTGGAAAGCTCTCGAGATGTGCTATAAGAATATGCAATGAAAAATGGGGTTTTCCATTTAAAAAAATTAATGTGACCTTGACCTGACCTTCGCTACGCAACCCAAGGTTAAACTGATGTGATCAGTAAATACATCTTTTTAAACGCCACAACTTTTGTCTGAAACATTTTTTTGTAAAACTTATATTTTTCCTGATATTCGGGCGTCCCGGTACTTTCCAAACACCCTGTATATATATATATATATATATATATATATATATATATATATGTATGTATATATATGTATGTATATATATGTATATATATGTATATGGTGTTCAGCGTAACGGTTTGCACAATTTTTTAGAAAATTCCGTTTAAGGAAAAGGCTGAATTTTCAATTGCTTCGTGCAGATTACAACTTGCAATAACAAAAGATAAAAAAAATATTATTTTTTATAAAAAAATCGAGATCACCTTGAATTTTTTAAACGGCACTATTTTTTAAATATAATATGATAAAAATGCAGAATTTTATGTCGCAGAAGGACGCAAGCATTTTGAATATTTGCTTCCATAAGTTAAAATTTTTCTATTGTTTTATTATTGTTGTCAATAAAAGTGACATTTGTGATGATGCGTTAAATTTGTCTTAAAGACTCCTACAATTTTTTTACCTTTTGTTATTGTAAGTTGTAGTCTGCACAAAGTAATTGAAAATTCACCTTACAATTTTTTTTTTAAACCTTCGGAAATGAAAAATCGTGCAAACTATTATATACGCTGGATACCTTATATACAATATTATAAATACGAAGCTTTTTTATCTTATTCATATTTCATTTATATGCATCAATTGGTTTAATAAAAATGCATAAATAATAAAAAGAGATATATAAGTACTTAAATATATATGTATGTATCTTGAATGTTAATATATTATAAATTGTAAGCTTTTATCGCTGTATTTTCCAAACAAAACGGTCAATAATTTCTGAAATTTATGTAAGTATAATGTAGGTATATTAATCTTTAATTTTATAGTATTTTTTATTAAAAATGATTAATTTTAGTTTACTAAAAATTAAAAACAGTACGCCAACTCCAAGAAACACGTAAACTTTAGTTTTAAATATTTTAGCTTTTGAATGGTCAATCTTTTTTTTAATTACAAGAATAGTTAGATATGTTTATAATTTGTATGTAGTACACATTTAAATACATTTTTAACAAATTTATTTTTCCTTACAACTTTCTTAAAAGTGATATTTTATTTCGCTTTACCTCCTTACTTTAACCACTGTCACCTAAAGTACAGCGCTATGGCATTGCTCCAATGCGACGCGTGTTGGCCGCAAGGTCTAGACGATATTGCATCAGACCCCAAATTCGTTTTTCATTCTTTGCTTCTTTTACATTGGAACTCATTCGCTGCGTAGCTTTGGTTCTTCTTTCATCAGCGTGCTCCTGTTCGTTTAAGATCGCTGCATTTCACAGCACAAGACCTGTATCGGTTGCATCAGATGACACAGACAACGACAACGACGATGATGACGGTGACAAGGAAAGCTAATTCGACCGATGCCGCGCCGATGTCGGCAGTATATACGGCGACGCACCATATAATTATGGTGAAAGCCAGTTCATGCGTGGCACACTGTGTATAAAGTCGCATGATTTGCTCGAACATTGGCTCACACATTGGCGCAGCGACTGCATTGATCTACAGGCAAACACAATAACTATCAAACACATAAACTATTTGCTTGAGTACTACTATTTGACGATACGTATCGCAATAATTGGATGTACGTGTAATGACTTGTTATTGGTAGTTTTTCTATCAATATAACGCGTTTAATAATTTTTACTAAAAAATAAAGAAGAAAGAGAGAGAGAGAGAGAGAGAGAGAGAGAGAGAGAGAGAGAGAGAGAGAGAGAGAGAGAG